TATACTAAATAGAGATTTTGTCTGTGTGCTTTCATTGTTTTCGCCTTTGGTAAAGGACGACAAGCCCCTTTGGAAGACCGGGAGGCAGAAGCAGGAGCAAGCATACTAGCTGAGTGCTTACAGGAATGGACCTCTGCCCACAATACCTCTGCCTTTGCTTGCTGTGGGAAGGACCAGTCTGCATGTGTTGTGTTGAAAGTGGTATTTGGAGTCAGCTTGTAAAAGTTTGCTAAATAATTAATGCATTAGGGTGATGCCTAAAATCAGTTCCTAAAAGAAAACCCCTAAGACTCAATTTGTGAGTTTTAGCAGACAGCGTTCCTTTTATTATTATGACATCGGATGCACGAGAATCTAATTTCTTCCAAAGCATGCATTCGGAGTTACAAAAGCCTCTTGCTTTTATTTAGTTACCCAATTATCAATTCAAAGCATTACCTAATACTGTTACACCCACTTCCAAAACCATCCTTCCCTTAGTATCACCCTCAACCCACCTCTTGAATTTGAGCTGGAGATTGCAAAAGACCACCCCTTCATCCTCATCCTACTCTTAGTCATAATCTCTGTCCTTCTTGGAACAGCTTCAAGATTTCTGAGGTCTCTGAATAGCTTTGACTCGGTTATATCAAGCTGTTATGTCTTTTTTCCTAAAAGTACATCTTCTACAGACAAGATGTTCAAAAAGTCTTTATCCATTGGAATACTTGACAAGAAAGTTAAACATTATTTTCAGAAATTCAACACAAAGGTACTTGCTAAAGTGCTACAAGATATACTGAAATCTATATAATATGTATTTAAGGCATCAGGGGGCCTTACCTACTTACAGGTTTAGTTTAGGGAAAAAGAAAGCAAAATAAAAGGGTAAATAATAAAAGGCTATCTGTGTTAACCCTTGTGTATTCCAGGTTGTGCTCCAGGCTTGCAGCCTGTGATAAGTGCTGCCACCCTCTGTACTCCAACTCAGTTCGGGGGGAATTAAAGCAGAGATAACTGGTCAGTGTACCAGATCCACTCTAGTATTTTAGTACCAAGTTCTTATAAGTTTACTGGGTATTGTAATTACACCTATTGTGAGAAATTACCAAGATATTTTTGTTTTATTTTATGAGTTCATTATTTATCCCAGTCGCTGTTTAGAAATAATGTCGTGAAATATTTGGAACTATTCACATAATGCTTTCTGTGTGTTGAAACAGTGAAGTTCTGCTGCTGATGCTCAGTGCTTGGATTTTGTAGGAGTGTTTTTGAGTTTCTGGGATATTAATGAGTGACCATACTCCACTCCTTGAGACTCATGGGGTGGGCAGTGGCTAATAAGGATTAAGTCTATGATTGCAATTGAGTTTAGATTCTTGATGGTTGGGATACAATGTTTAAGCCAGGAGATGATGTGGGAATTGTGAAAATCATAGCAAACTGACTTCTTAAAGCAATTGGACAATATTAGTCAAGGATGGCCTGTGTGTCTGGGCGCTGTAGCAGCCACTGTTATATTAATCATCATTGTGTATGTACCTCATATGGTACAAACAGTACTTGAACAGAAGAGGGGGCCACTGGTTGTAAATCCTGCCATGTTTTTGTCCTCAACATGAACTAACAGTGTGCCAGAACATGACTGCAGATTATCGGGGAAACTTATTCCAATAGACTAGGTCTGAAGGATATGCTTCTGGAGAATCCAGATTGGGATTGGAGCAGTTTTGTACGAGATAGTAAATGAATGATGGGATATGCTATAACAACTACAAATGTGGTAATCAAGACAAGGGCTTTACCATCTGATGCATCAGGACAGAAAGCTTTTGGACTGTGATGAGAATTCCCGAGATGAGATCTCAGGTCAGAGAAGAAGTAAACAAGACATCATAGGAAAGAAGAACTGAGCAGTAAGCTCACTGCAGATAAAGCCGTAATGGAATCAGAAATGAACAACATTAAGTGATTTATCTTTTGTGTTTGCAGAATATGGTTTATAAAATATCCATTTGTACCTGGATTAGTTGACCATCCTAAGCAGGACCTTGGTTATAATAGCAAACATAGCTTCAAATACTCAAGGGGTAAATAAACAAGGACAAGTTTGTGAGAGGGCCCCTATCATGGTTAGGGTTAGGAGTACCTGAATTAGAAAAAACTATTGTAAAATGAAATTACTAGCCTTCCAAAGGCAGTCAAATAGAATTGAGTGGCTCTAGGTTGGCTTGTGGCTTCCAAAGGTGGTGTGTACACAATCTGTATATATGATTCAGACTTTGAGAATCCAAACTAAGATAAAAATCAGAAAGCTTTAATAGCACGTGCAGATCTGACAAAAACTATTTTTATCTAAAACTGAAAGGGCCCCAAAAGGATGGATGGCTACTCTAACTTTAGTAGTGTTGTTAAGGTTGAAATAAATTTTATTGATAGTGATTACTGTATTTTTTTTGTCTTCTTTTACTGTTAGTTTGATTATTAAGTCACTGCCAGATGGGTATAGACAATGAAGAAATGAAGTTGCACACACACCATGATTTGGTTTTCAGGATTCTCCACAGAGCTCTCTCTGTGTTTCCCCTTTATTAGGGTTCTTTGGTAAACAGCACCTGGTCTTGTCATTCAGTTAACTAGAATTCCTGGGACTTTTTGCAAACTCAATGTTTTGATTCACACACTCCTTCTCAGCTCCAAGGCCAAAACACTCCCTTTTGATTCTAATTAATTGAATGCAGGTGCTGCTGGCTTAACTTGTTCCCACAATGGGTAGTGTCCCCTTTTTTGTTTTGACATGTGGGGTTCGTTGCGACGAGGGCCAGGACCCAGGCCTCTTGTCTTCGGGTTTGTCTGATGTGCGTCCAGAGGACCTCAAGTCCAATATTAAAAACAGACAAATTATTAAAAAATCTGCTATTGAGGCTGACATATTGCCCAATACAGTGGTCACTGTATGTGCAGCCTGCACTGAATGGGCCAATGCAGCAGTAGACATGGCTGCAGTAGCTGCCATGATTACTACAGAGATGATAAAAGCAATTAGCCATCCAACGATGATGATGATTTCTTGATTGTGTTAGCAGTTTCATTAATTTACTGTTTCCTGCATCATCCTCCCAGCTTCTGGTTAGGTTCACTGGGAGCCACAGTTCGGCTCTTTTGCATATGGGAATTGTTGCCTTAAAATCAGGAGCAGAAAAAAATCCAGGCAAATTTAGTAGAGATAAGATAGAGAACAGCTCTTTAATGAAGGCCTTCTGGCACGAGGAGTACAAAGGCACACGCACCTGTGTCCAGGGGTTCCACCATTTATGGTCTGATCTGAGAACCACTTGCCCCCCAGATCCTCACCAAATCTGCCCCCCAGGCATACCTCCCCAGGAATTGAGTCGTAGGTCCCAAGACCTCTTTTCTCCTCATCTTCCTCTTTACAGCATATACTGTCTTTGGAGCTTCTTCAAGGTTCCAGGCTTGAAGGTTGCTTTGACTATGATGGTATCTTGTTGTTCAGGCCTGGGGTGCAAATGTTCTTAAACAGAAGGTGTTTACTACAGTCCTACCTTGAAAGGAGCCTAAACAAACATAAAGGATTTAGAAAATTCAATATTAAATGGGGGAATAGGGTTTAGTAAGTGTTATCTATCATTCTAAAGTGTGATAGACTATACAGCTACATTAAAATCTACAAAAGCTAAAAATCCTAAAAATTCAAAGGCATCAGAATTATTAATGATAAAGTGAGAGTGGATACATTTTGATTTGTGATACAACTAAAATAATAAGGATTACTTACAGTAATGTTAAAGGTATTGATAGTAACACTAATCAGAACGTCACGTGTGGCCAAGAAGGCATATGAGTGAGAGGTACACACCATGACTGAGTCATTATGCCAGTCAATAAAAGTTAGTAGACACAATGAATTATCCCTAGAACAGTGTCTTCCCAATGGGACATCCAGGCAGGCCTTTTGCTGCTCAGCATTCACTGGTCTCCTCCTGAGAGTCTCTGAGGGACAGCCTCTGCATCTGTAGAATCTGATGGTGTGTCAGGGCCATCCAACTCATAAGAATTTACCAAACGTGCTGGAAGCCAGTGGGGTCCTGTGGATGACAGAACACAAACATTCCCCCTTCCCCATGCTAACAACTTGACAAGACCTTGCCATAGGGCATCTTCATGAGAGTTTTTGTTCAGTACTTATTGATCCAAATTCAAAAATTGAAGGGTAAATACAACTTTGTATACTCGGGGTGTCATATTCCCCCTTTTTGGTTTTAAAAGTATGGTTTTTAATACAGAGTACACAATTCTTTCACCTGGGATAGGCACAGGTGATAAGATTACATTTATGGTTTTGGAGTTTTTTGTTCTTTGATTGGGGTTTTTACTTTCTTTTTTTCCCTTTTTTTCTTTCTTTCTTTTTTTCTTTTTTTTGGTACATTATTTTCTATCAGTTGTATTTTCAAGCAAAATTTAAACATCAAAACAATCTTCATGTACATATTTTAAAACAAATAATCTAGCATAAATCAATTTCAAGTGTTAACATTTTTTCATCAATTTTAGTATTATTCTTAACTTTTTTCTTCAACTCTTGGGTATGGCATGTGTGTGTATCTAATTGTACACATGTACCTAGGACTTTTTAAAACACAAAACACTGTATAACTTACTTCCCTTTTTAAAGTTACCAAGAACAAGGCTTACAATACAAAGTTATAGGCACTTAAATTATCAAATAGATTCAGTGGTTGTAATGCTGTGTGTTCATTCTTCATGCATTTAAGTTGGTTTTTTCCCCCTTCTTTCGTTTTTTGGGTTGGTTTTTTTTTCGTGGTTGGAGTTCAGCTCCTTCTTACTGACTTTGGCCGCCGGCGCTGCGGAGCTCTGAGGCTCCGAGAGAGGGGGAGGCTACCACTGCGGCGCGCAGCGGGTGGAGAGAGGGGGCGGCCGGGCGCTTTTTCCGGCGCGGAGCGGATTGCAGCCAAAAGCAGTTATGTTTCGTGAAAAGCGCCATGATTAAGGACGGAGGTAGGGGGGAAGGAGGGAATCCCCCCCAAAGGTAAATTAGCGTGATTAAAGGCAGGAGACAGACCCCCCACCGGAGGGAGATTATCACGAGTAAAGGTAGAAGACAGAACCCCTCACCGGAGGTCCTAAAGCCCCCGTTATCTGGGAATATAAACCAGGCTGATCAGCAGAACCGATAGAAGGGGCAGGTAATATATCTTTCTTTCTCCCCAGAGTGGTCATCCAACAAGTCCAAAAGAGCGAGTAGTTCCTTTGTCCCTATATCAGGCTCTGTTACTCTAAACGGTTGCAAAGCATACATAAATGTTCCAATTGCTCATCCATAACCCTATGTCCCGCTGCAGGCAATATCTGTTGCAAAATCTTCAAACAAATCCTATGTCTTTGGGAGATCCCTCACCCCATTATGCTATATGACCCCGTGGTTTTTCTGTCCCGCAGAGACCACTGTCCCATTTTAATAGGATGATTGCTATCTGCTGCAAAACTCAAAAATACTCTTTGTATTTTTGAACTCTTGTTCAATAGAAGCAGTCTGTCCTATTCCTAACACGACCCCGTGACTCCTTGTTCAATAAGTGCCGCTGAGCTCTATTTTAATAGAGCTGTGGACACAAGAAAAACTTCCCTTTTTCTCTCTTTTTTTTTCTTTTTTTACTCACCCGTCGGGTCATGTGTTCACCATAGTGCAGAAAAAAGCCTCACATGGGGTCCCATTTGTGGTGAATGAATTCAAGCAGAGACAGACTTTTTCCAGGCATAACTAGCTCTGTTACCCTCCTTGGGTCGTGGTTGTCAAAAACTCCTGTAACACGTATCACGTTGTGGTCACCAAATATAGACAATGAGGAAATGAGGCTGCACACTCACCAAGATTCTCCACAGAGCTCTCTCTGTGTTTCCCCTTTATTAGGGTTCTTTGGTAAACAGTACCTGGTCTTGTCATTCAGTTAACTAGAATTCCTGGGACTTTTTGCAAACTCAATGTTTTGATTCACACACTCCTTCTCAGCTCCAAGGCCAAAACACTCCCTTTTGATTCTAATTAACTGAATGCAGGTGCTGCTGGCTTAACTTGTTCCCACAATGGGTAGTCTCCTCTTTTAAAGAAGTCTAAGTGGGACTGAGTTTTCTCCTTTTACAGGTGTTCCATAAGAAGATGATACGGCAACAGAATTGAAAACTTGTTGCAGTTTTGGGGGGTATCTGGAGGGTCACTCCCGGCCGCTCTGTGAAGGTTTCCAGGGCTGAGATCGCCCCCCTGCCGCCCGTCCCTCGTGGCAGGGACAGGCGGCGGAGGGCCCTATGCCAGGAGACAGAGACCACACAGCACGCAGGGAGTCCAGCAGCAAAGAGGGAGCGAAGAGAGCTTTATTGATCTCACAACGGTTTAAGTACCTTTTGGAGGGATCCCAGGGTGACCAGTGAGAATACAGGACATCTTACAAACAACCAATCACGACAAGGGGTTAACAACCAATAGATGAGTTTCTAGTTATCTCTCAGACATTCCACAGGTACAGTGAGGGGTTTATGGGAACAAGAAGGGTTACACAAAGGTTTAAAATCACCATCTTGGACACGTGGTCAATTTAACAATATTACAAGCTCCTGCATTCTTTTTATGTAGCAGAGTTAGCCCAACAAAAACTCATACTGTTTTTTGCTGAATTGATTGTTTATATAATTTGCAATGTTTATATTTGTACATTTTCTCACAGTGTAGCTGTAAAATTATAATAATAATAACACTCTGTCTCACCTAAAAAATCCAATGCGAAGGCTGGAAGGTGTAAAGACCTTCCCCGGATCTTTGCTCGCAAAGACTGGCCATTATTATTATTATTATTAGCTGTAAAATTAAGTACTTTATTAGAAATTGTTAGCCATAGAATTTATGTATTTTAGACTAGCACTTTAAAGGAGAGTACTAGCCATAGAACTCATGTAATTTATTAAGTTTGGAAGTTCTCAGGGAAAAGTACATAGTTTATAATTTCTTGTGAAGACCCGTTACAGGCAAGAATTTCGATAAACAGAAACGGTTGCTTGCACCTGTGAAGAGACTGATAAAAGCAAGAAAGAAGACAAAACTGATGTGACAAGACTGGATTTAGGCCTTGGACCAGGTCCATAAGGCAGGAAACCATACCAGAACCAAGGTGTCGAGAAAAACAAGCGATTTGAGGAGAGCATACTGTGGGGGAAAATGGGGTGGGACAGATGAGGTAATCCTTGCATCTGTAATTAGAAAGTTGTATAAATTTATGAAACCTATGTGATTCGGGGTGCATCCTTTGGGATTTTTTTTCTGATGCACCCGGCACTGAAATAAATGTGTGTGCTTTTTGGCTTTGTATACTCAAAATGAGTCTAGAGAGTTTCTTCTCCGACTTTTCAACATCACAAGTAGTTTTGCAGTATTCCACAAGCATTGCTTTGGAATGTTTGTGTCTTGTCTCTGGTTGCTGCAGCACGTGAAAGAGATTCCTCCCTGAATTTAGTTTGGGAGTCCACTCAGGATTTTATATGGTTATGAAATCAAACTTGTCTACCTCTATATCCAAAACATTTTGTAAACAAGGAATATCTGAAATGCTGAACCTTACCGAAGACAAATCCTATATTAAGAAGTATGAGAGAAAGTGAAGGAAGTGGCCGACTAGTCTGTGGAACTCTCCCAGTCACTGCAACCAAAAGACTGGTTTTACAAACTCTCCCCTAGGCCCTAGTTCACATCTGGCCTGCAGTCTTTGAGACAAACTGGTAACATCACTGATGAGATTACTTGTTTAGATTGTTCCTAGCTGCAATGAATACCCTGGCTTGCTTTAATGTGATACCCTGTTATTGTGATGCTGCTGTTTTGTTGGTGTTCATTACAGACACATATATATGTGGGTGTACCTAACCCAACATATGAGGTGATGTTAATTGATTTTCATCACTATTTTGTTATGACAACATACACATATACAGAGGACGCTTTTATAGCATGGAGGCAAGAGGTACCTACACTACCACTTCATGAGGTAAAGATGATTGACTGCAGTCAAGGGGTGGACTGTGGCAGGATTGCCTACCCCGATAAGGCTTAAATCCATTGCAAGATGAATTATTGGTGGTGCCAGGGTGCTGTTTTGGTGTTGCACCAAACTCCAAACACACACCCCGCTTTTGAAGTTGGATGTGAACTTCTAGCTGGCCTATAAATTTGTGACTAGCAGTCAGTCACTTCATACTCTAAGTCCAGTGCCTCTCATAGAGCCAAGACGCAGGGACAATATAAGTCCTTACGAGCCCTATATTTACATGAGGGGAAAATTGATTTGCAAAATTATTTAATGGCTTTAGGCTCTACTTTGCAGAAACTACAGAGAGTCATCATGACATCCAGACACATAGGATTGGACACTCCTGTCCATCCGTTCCAGCCCGGGGACTGGATCTACATTAAATGGTGGGACAGTGGCCCCCTGCAAGCTAAGTGGAAAGGCATCGAGTAATCACGGGAAAGACAAAAAGCAAAGAAAGCAAGCCTGTTTTAAAACCATACAAATATTGAAAAGTGCAGAACTTGGGATGAGTCCCTCACTGCAGTCAAGGTTGGTGGCAAAGGATCCTGGATGCGCTACTCCAGAGTTAAGAAGACCTCTGCACTTGGGACAAGTGGAACAACAGGGACCATGGCAGATAAAGATAAAGGAAAATGTTTAAATTATTATTTCTGTGTGTATTGCTGGAACCAGAATTTTCATTTGACTCTTGTCCAAAATGTGTCCAATATTGTTCATAAAAATGACTGTTGGATTTGTACTCAAATGCCAAGAATTGGTAAGGATAAAAGCTGGCCTTTGATTGGTATCTTAATGAATGAGACAAATTTCAGTGAGGTCCCTGAACTCCAGGACCACTCAGGAGTTTTCACATCTGGATGGTGGGGATGGGTCACTAAGGCCTTCCTACCCATAACCCTGAGCAGCTTAATTCCTAATCAAGAAAACTACACAGTTCCCTGCATAATTGTTAATGCCATGGGAAAGATCATTCTCCCTTCGTATTGTCATAAAACTAAGTCCAGAACAAGAGTAACACCAGAAATTATAAAGGGAATGGCACAAACACCACGGAGAATGATTCCCCTGCAGGGTTCAGGATAGTATTGGATATGCAAGAATGAAGCATGGAAAGTTTTGCCCCTTGACAGTGATCAGGTCTGTGCTCTAGGGACTGTAATCGTGAACATAACAATTTTCAATCAAATTAAAGAACAAGGTGGGTGGATAATAACTTATGTAAAGAGAATAAAAGGTCCAATAATCCCCTTGTTGAATGTCCCATGGCCTTTGACGATTCTGTTAATGCTATTATTCCTTTTTTAGGAGTAAGTGAAGTAGAAAAAACAATTGTCAACAGTTTGGCCATTATTGAACATATTGCGAATCAAACTTTAGATGCAATCATTGCCTTACAAGAGGAAGTCAATGGTTTGTCTCATGTAGTTTTGCAGAACAGAATGGCTCTCAATCTTTTACTAGCCTCAGAAGGGGGCGTGTGTACTGTTATAAACACCAGTTGTTGTACTTATGTACATCAAAGCGGAAGAATTACTATGGATCTTGCTGAAATTTGGAAAAAAACTCAAAAATTCTACATCAGATAACCCTTGAAGGTATCTCTTTGGGTTTTGGAGATATCTGCCACAAACTTACTTCATGGTTACCAAATTGGACCTGGATAAAACAGCTGTTCATGCTATATACAGTATATATCATTAGTGTTTGCATACTGGCTTGATGTATGATTCAATGTTGTAGTAGTTGTTCATCTTTATGGTTCAGTATTAAGTAGTAGAAACTTAGGATGAAATCCTTTTCAGTCTCTAAAGGGGGGATATGATGCCTTAAAATCTATATTTTATAAGTTTTAGTATAGCTTGTTAGTGCCTTTAGCTTGCTAGTACCTTTGTACAAGATTTCTAAAAATGTTGTTTAACATTCTTTGTTAAGAATTTCAACAGACGGGGGATTTCAACAAGGTGAAGAGTTCTCTATCTGTAAACAGGTACTGAAAAAGAGACATAACACTTGATATAAGTAGTCAAAGCTGCCCAGGATCCTTGAAACCATTCCAGAAGGTGTGATACTGGGTCAGAGGAGATGAGGAAGATGAAGAGAAGATGAAGATAGTGGTCTTTGAGACCTCCGACTCAAATTCAGGAGGGGTGTCAGAGGTGGAGTGAGGGTGTTATTATGGGAGGGATGTTTTTGGAAGTGGGTGTAATAAATGTGGTAATGTCCAAATACTGTAAATAGATGAGAGTATAAAATTGTAACACCTATGTAGTTCGGTATGTATCCTGTGCATCCGGCATGCTTTTTGCTTTTCAATACTCAAAAGAGTTTTAGAGAGTTATTTTCTGGCTTTTCAGGCATCAATGGCCCAGTAAACCAACCACGTTCTCGGCTGCATCAAAAAGGGTGTGATCAGCAGGTTGAGGGATGTGATTCTGCCCCTCTACTTTGCTTTTGTGAGGCCCCACCTAGAGTATTGGATCCAGCTCTGAAGTCCTCAGCACAAGAAAGACGTGGACCTGTTAGAGTGGGTCCAGAGGAGGCCACAAAGATGATAAAAGGAAAGGAGCATGTCTCCTACAAAGATAGGCTGAGACAGCCTCATTGCAGCCTTCCAGTACTTAAAGGGATCTTATAAAAAGAGGGAGAGTGAATTTTTACATGGGCAGATACTGATAGGACAAAGGGGAACGTTTTTAAACTAAAAGAGGAGACATTTAGATTAGATGTCAGGATGAAATTCTTTACTCAGAGGATGGTGAGGCACTGGAACAGGTTGCCCAGGGAAATTGTGGATGCCCCATTCCTGGAAGTTTTCAAGACCAGGCTGGATGGGGCCCTGAGCAAACTGGTCTAGTGAATGGCATCCCTGCCCATGGCAGTGTGGCTCATCAAGTGGTCTCAAATCTGCTCTTTGCTTATATTGGGAGGGACTTTGCTCCCCCAACCCCCAGCTAGAGGTTCAGGGACTTGATAGATGGGGAAGCCTGATCACAAGTGAAGTGTGAGGCAAAGAACTTATTGAGTACCTCAGCCTTCTCCATATCAATCACCACCAGTTCTCCCTTCTCGTTTATTGCAGGGGTACACTCTCCTTGGTGTTTCTTTTCTGACCTATGTACTTATAGAATCCCTTTTTATTATTCTTTGCATCCCTTGCAAAGTCCTGTTCCAACTGTGCCTTGGCTTTCCTGATCCCATCCCTACACATTTGAACTGTATCCCCGTACTCTTCCCAGGTCACCTGTCCCTGCTTCCACTGGCTGGTCATTTCCCTCTTACTCCTCAGTGTGAGGAGCAGGTCCTTGCTCAGCCATGCCAGTTTCTGGACCACCTTGCTTGATTTCTTACACATGGGAATGGAGAGCTCTTGCACGCTAAGGAAAGTGGCTTTAAAGAGCTGCCAGCTCTGGTCAGCTCCTCTGTCCCTAAGGACAGCTTCCCAGGGGATCTCAAAGCTCAAGCATGTTCCTGAGAATTGCCTGTGGTGGGTCTCAGTCACTCAGCTGCCGGTTATTAAATGTTTTGTATGAAATCTGCTCAAGTTACTTGCATTTATGCTCAGTACTCCAGTTAGCTCAGTCTATTTGTTACACCTCTTCTACTGAGCAGATTTTGGCTGAGATTATATTATTATTTTCACTAAATAAAGGGACTGGACTCCTAATGGAGTGCCACCCTAGGTTGCCCCTGCTGTGGCCTTTGCCCATGCCTTTGTCACTCCAAACCCTATCTCCCATCACTGCTCCTATGCTCTCCCTTTCCTCTGTCCTCCCAGTTCCATTCATGTAAATGAGACCTGTTATGGGCAGCCACAGTGCCAGCAAGAAGGAAAATGCTGGTGATGCTGGAAGGAGAAATAAAAGTGGATTGATAAGCTCCTAAACAGCCTCAAACAGGCTACCGGGATGTCGCCTTGTCTCCTCCCTCAAACCAGCCTACAACACCAACCTGGCTGGAACTTGACTGAGCAGAAGAAAGGAGAGGTGCCCTCGGGATTTTACATCAGATTCACTTCTTTTAATGAATAGATCTCCTCCTTATGCTTTATAATGACTGCTTAATGCTCTCCTTTTGAAAGTTTGTAATTAATTTTATAGTAAACAGTTATTAATAGCGTGGAAGTAGATTTCCCCCTCCTTGGGTAATGGAACTGTCTGCTGGGTTCCTCAGTGCTGACACTCAAATTTTACCTCCTTTTCTGTCAAACCCCAACCTCCTCCTGTAGAAGGTTATTTCTTTCAGATATTTGGATCCTGCCTGAAGTTCTGTCATACTTAAACACCCCAGACAGGTCAGGATTGTAAGAACTGTCTCATATGGTCAGTGTGAAATGGGAGAAATGACTACTGACTCTCGAGATGGACATTGTGTTTTCTTCTTAGTGAGTGCTTTGGAGATATGCATCAATGCTTAAATATTGATTGGGTAAATTGATTTTTTTCTTTAAGTCTTGCAGTGGAAAACTTTGTAGACCCTACAGCATACCTGCCACCCCAGCTCAGCAATCTCCTCATCCCTTAAGTACCTATGTTGCCCTTAGGGGAGAGTGGTTGCTCCTCTCAGTTGGTTTAAGTTACTGTCGTGGTTTTGCCCAGTCGGCCAGTCCCTGGGGCTGAGAATGGTTTTGTCCAGGTGGATTTCCGGACAAGAAGCCAATTAAAACTCTCATTAACACCTTTGCTAATTACACATTTAAGAAAAAATGGAAGAGAAGGTGGGTGGCGCAGTTGAAATTAGGCAGCCATGTAGTAAAGACGGCAGTGGGGCCCGAGGTGGGCCAAGGCCTCCCTCCTTCCCCAGCTTGGGCCGGGGGCAGGTGTAGCACTGAAGTCCCTCTTCTCTCTTGTAAGAGAGTGAAGAAAAAAAAAACTTTAAAAGACTTATTGCTTGGACGAAGAACTACTACAGAAGAATTCCGGCGAAGAGATAAGGGACCTTCAAGGTCAAAGCTGGCAGATGCAGGAGAGAGAAGGAAAGTTTGAAAGAGGGAGGGTTGTTTCTCCTCCCCCCCTTTCACTCTCTCCCTTCAGCAGGGAAAAGACTGAAAAATAATCCCTGCTACCTGTGGAGTATTTGCAGGAAAATGGAGGCCTGGTGAACAACCCATATTACCAGCTGTGAGAGAAGCCTCAGGCTTCCCTTGGGAAGAACAGTTGGCAGTTGTAAACTTAGGCTAACTTCCCATGAGAATGGAATTAGTTTATAGTTAGCTTGAACAGACTTCCCATGAGAATGGAGTTAGTTTATGATCAACAACTATTCCATGTTATGAGAACCTACGGTAGGAGCTGGTATCCAGGTGCAAAAACATCGAACCTGCATCTTGTCCAATGAACATGAGACACGGACTCGTGGACAGACTGAGCTATCCAATTCCCAGACTTTAACCCTGCACCTAATAATAATAATGGCCAGTCTTCGCGAGCGAAGATCCGGGGAAGGTCTTTACACCTTCCAGCCTGCGCATTGGATTTTTTTAGGTGAGACACAGTGTGCGCGGAACTGAGCCCACCCTTTAATCCTAAGGTTCATCTGCTGGGGCCAAGCGAGCTTGGATGGTGGCAGCGAGGTCCTTAGGACGTAGGTGGGTTGCCTTTAAGGGCTAACGAGCCCCACCTGCCCGGGAGTGGCTCTGACCAGGAATCGAACCCGGGTCTCCGCGGTGATAGCGCGGCGCCTTTACCACTAGACCATTATTATTATTATTACATTGCTTAATCATATTGATTGTTGTGATGGATCCGTGCTCTTGCTGTCAATAAGTGGCGCCCAGAACCAGGGACTCCGACTTAGCTGTTTTTTCTCCATGGACCCTGTCGACAGGACCTGGACGGAGGAATGTTTCGGCAAGCCACGTCCTTGGAGGAATCGAAGGGAGACCTCAGAAGGAGGACGGGATTGACAGCTGCTGTTTGCCTTCGAAAACCCAGACGGAGGATCAGCAGCGGGGAAGGGAGTGCAAGAAAGCCAACCGTTAGCAAGGCTGCCCTGGCCTTGGAAAAAACGAGCTTGTGTCGACAAGGACAGGTCGGAAAATCTCACCCCGTACAGGTGAGCGGTTGGGTAGGAATGGGGACCTCTCCGAGCAAAGAGGAGAGGGCAGTTATGAGAGTCCTACAACATATGCTCTCTATGAGAGGGGTAACATATGAAACAGCTGCTCTCAAAGGGCTGTTAAGCTGGTCTTGAGAGCAGGGGTATCTTCCCATGGAAAGTTCTGCATTTGAGATCCGGATATGGGACGACATAGGAAAGGAACTGAGGGAGGAAATCACAAAAGGCTCTAAGGAACTTGCTCGCTATGGACCATTGTGGAGGGCTCTGGCAGAAACTTTAAAATCCATGAAAACTGAGCGCCAAATTACTGCTTCAGCCTTTGCCGCGTTAGTAGGCGGTGAAACCGACAAAAAGGAGGGCGGGACTGAATCGGCTTCCCAGTTTCTTTTTGCTGTCCCTCCAATCCCACTGCCAGTTACCGCGAAGGCGGCTCCTTCAAAATCGAAATCGTCAGCCGATGCCTCCGTGGGGACGAATGTACAGCCAGCTAGCGCTAAAGCGGTGGCTCCTTTGAAATCGTCAGCCGGTGTTTCCGAGGGGACGAGCGTTACCGACGCTCCGGTCCCGCGGGAAACAGCGTCCGCTACTAAGCCGTCCGCTAAACAGCGGGAGGCGGTGTCTGCTCCTAAACCATCCGCTGAAGACGCGGAGGGAAAGGCTGTTCCTGTTACTTCAGTTTGGCGAAAACAACTCGAACCAGAAAAGGTTCTCCCCCTGCCAGACCGCTCTCCGTTGCGGAGATCGGCTCGGCGTCAGCAGAGCAAAATGGAGGAGAGAGGAACTCGTGATTCGGCGCGTAGAGCAGCATCGTATTCGCGATCACCGTCACCCCACACCCCTTCGTCCCCAAGTTCGGACTCTGACTCTGACAACGGGTCAGAAGCTACGAAGAATAAAATGCAGATGAAGGAGGTGTTACGGAGCCTGAAGGAGGTGGAAGTCTCGGTGGCTCCTCTGGTTGCACAGAGGAGCCGAAGACGGGATGACCCTCCCGCGCCTACTCTATCACTGCCAAAACCTGTCAATGCACCAACGCAGACACAGACTCATCTCAACACATTCCTTCCGCTTCCCCCTCCGCTGCACTTCACACGACCGGAGAGGGGGAGAGGCGGGAGCGGGCTGCAGGGAGGAGGGAGCGTGAACGGGCTGCCGCTTACGAGCGCGGGCTCTTTACCAGCGGGCGGGGTTCGCTGCCGCTTTCGTGCGGTGGGAACTCTCTGCCTGAGGCTGGCGATGGTTCGCTGCCACTTGCGGGCGGGAGCTCTCCGCCTGCAGGGGGGAATTTGCTGTCTGCGGGCGGGAACAGATCGCAGGCAGGAGGGGACGGGCTGTCGGTGAATGCAGAGGCGCTCCTACCGAGCGGGACAGCGCTGTCGCCAAGTGACAATCCAGGCGTGAGTGGGTTGCTGGTGGGCGAAAAAGCAAACAACGATTGTCCGGTTCAGAGGTGGAAAGGAATTCTGCGGGATGCTATGATAGAGGGAGAGTTTTTACCTATAAGTCCTGAAGCTTTCCCCGTTATACTCAGTGCGGGCGGAAATAAGAGCTGGCAACCGGTAGATTGGAAAATGTTAAAGGAAGCTAAAGCAGCAATTACTCAGTACGGGTTAAAATCAGGTTACACCACGTCCGTGTTGCAACATCTGTTTGTTGCTACTTTGCTAACTCCCTATGATATTAGGATGATGATCACAACCTTATTATCTCTGCATCAGCAACTACAATTCTGTCAGAAGTGGCAAACTTTCTGTGAGGCAGCTGCTGTGACCGTTAGACAACAGGGAGATCCGCTTTACGGGGTAACATCTCAGATGCTTTTGGGAACTGATCCTTTTGCGCAAGTAGAATGGCAGGTACAGTTTGTAAATGAAGTCTTGCTGTTAAACTAGGAGCTAGTCCACAAGTCCTTACAGACAGGGCAGGATGACAAACGAACTCCATCCTTTTCTTCGGTGAAGCAGGGAGCTACAGAACCTTTTGGTAAATTTATTGACTGGTTACATAATGCAATAAACTCAAATCCGGATTTAGATGATGAGATGAAAAGTAAATTTCTGGACCTGTTAGCTTATAATAATGCTAACGAGAAAACAAAATGGGTTTTGAGTGTTTTGCCACGAGGTGCTACAACAGGCCAGATGTTGGAAGCAGCAGACCGGATGATCGAGCAGGAAAAAGCTGCCTATATGGCTACAACCTTCGAGGCAGCTGTAAAGCCTCTAGTACTTAAGACAGATTAAATCAGGTAAAAAAAAAAAAAAAAAAGGGGGGGGGGAAGATGTGATAGAGCCCCATGAGAGACTTGCAGTAACTCTGGTAGGGGAACCAGAGCAACCTCCAATAGTAAAACACTGGGATGCAGTACAGGGACCCAGGAACCAGCAAATGGCTAGGCCCTGGAGAATTACTAATAAAGGGCAGAGATTATGTTTTCTGTCTTTTACAGATACTGGTGCTCGGTGGTTTCCTGAGATATATATTAAGCCATGTGGCAGTGGAGACCATGGTGGTGGAGACCAAGCACAGACCCAGAGATCCGGAGGAGGGAGCAGCACCGTGCCAAACTAGTGCTAGCACCCTACCTGAAGGTACTGGGAATCACGGACCTTCAGTCAGTTAACTTTGAGGAAGTCCTTACTGCATTGCCTTCGGTCCATGTGTGACCAGAAAAACAAAAGATTTTGCGTGGATGCTGTAAGCATGGCTATTACTGTTGACCATGGTTGTTAAAACTGTGTGGACAGTGTGGGGGTCGTAAGTGGCGAGTTATACGACAATCAGAACCTACCTGGAGACACTTTTGGTGCACCACATGCATAAATCATATGCAAGAAATATCCTTGGAACAACAAGTGGTCCAACTCATAGAAGTAGAACCACTTCCCCAAGAAGGTTTTGTCACAGCCTTTCAGGTAGCCCAGACAGTTCGGGACATTCAACAAATCTTTTTAGCTGAACTGGCAGAAGAGTTACAGAATCGCATAATAGAGATCCAAACAGTACAAGTGGGGCCTGTTATTAAAGTACAGTGTGGAAAAAACATTTATGTGCCTCGAACATGGGAGGTGGATTCCGATGAATGGAAGCAGGAGTGCTATCGTTGGTACAATATAGAAAAAACATACATGTGCCTCGATTAGGGGAGATGGACAACAAAGACCTTACTTCTTATTACAGTGTTAATACCTTCCTGTGTTCAGCAACTGTTTTTCTTATTTCATATGAAGTTTTCTTTATGGGACTGCGGTATTAGGTACATTAAGTAATTGTTATTCACCAAAGAGTGTCTTTTATTCATAGATTATGTGGTTTGTTTATTCAGGAAAGTTAACTATAAGTGATTAACTTATAATTTCCCTTCCTATAATCAAGTACTTGATTAGTTGATAAAAAGTTTTTGACTTTGTGTGAAAGTATGAATGTCTGTGGTGGCCACCTGCTGAATGTGTGAATGAAAGTGGTGTGCAAGAGAAATTATGCTTGCTTGCTGGAGTTGGAAGCAAGCTAACAGTACTCGAATTTTATCTGAATTGTTATTAGATGTGGATAGTATTGAGTATGCTGTATTGCAGAATAGAACTGCTATTGATTTTTTAGGTATCACTGGATAAGTAAAGGGGTTATTGGTTCAATGACTAACACTACTTTTAACAATTTTCTGTATGCTAGCTGTTAGTTGTGCCTTACAAGGTGTAGTGAAATTAATTCACAAGGCCTTTGATAGAATATGGGTTGTTCAAAAACAAAACAGGGGATTTGTGGAGTATTTGCAGGGAAATGGACACTTGGTGAACAACCCATACTACCAGCTGTGAAAGAAGCCTCAGGCTTCCCATTGGAAGAACACTTGATTTACAGTTGGCAGTTGTAAACTTAGGTTAACTTCCCATGAGAATGGAATTAGTTTATAGTTAGCTTGAACAGACTTCCCATGAGAATGGAGTTAGTTTATGATCAACAACTATTCCATGTTATGAGAACCTACGGTAGGAGCTGGTATCCAGGTGCAAAAACATCGAACCTGCATCTTGTCCAATGAACATGAGACATGGACTCATGGACAGACTGAGCTATCCAATCCCCAGACTTTAACCCTGCACCTACGATGGTACAAAAATGTATAAAATGTGTGCTGTGTGTCTTAATAAACGATTCATTGCTTAATCATATTGATTGTCGTGATGGATCTGTGCTCTTGCCGTCAATAGCTACCTGTAGAAGATTGTTGGGATGAGGAGACCCTCATGCGGCTCACAGAGGAGCTTGTGGATGTACCAGAGAACTGAGACTTCATGAAAAGGACTGAGGTGAGGCAGAGTCCTGTTGAAGATTTTGTGACCCTAAGGGAAACCTACGCTGGAGCGAGACTGCTCAGGTAGGATGTTGGGATCCATGCTAGACCCATGCCGGAGAGGTCTATCAAGGACTGTTCTCCCATGGGATGGGACCTCCACAGGGAAACAGGGGTGGACTCATAAGCCATTATCCCCTGTAACTCCATGGAAGAAGATCCATGGTAAGCAAGTGTCCCCTTGCAAGTCTATGGAAGAAAAGACCTTCAGGACCTGGGTAACCCCCAGCCTCCGGTCTTAGCCCAGGACGGGGGTAGGCCCAACCCTGGAGGCTAACACAGAGCAAGAGAGAAAGAGAAAAGAATTCCAGCTGCAACAAGAGTGCTGCAGAGTTACTGAAGAGACCTGGAACTCCGAGAATGGAAAAAGAAACTGCTTTTCCTCCTTGGACTGATATAAAGGGGGAAGTATTTCTGTAAATACATAGCACTTTTATTTAAGTAGAATTGTTATAAATGTAGTTCTTTAGTAGTTTTTATTTTACTAGTAATAAATGTTCATACTATTTTCCCCAAATCCAGTCTCTTTTGTCTGCATAAACCTTCTCTCAACGAATGGTAATTGTGTGGGGAGTGTGAAAGCAAATTGACCCAGAGCAAAACCACAACAGTTACCTTTCAAAATCAGTGGTTTTTTTCTCTTGAGCAATAATTGGAGACATGGAGGCATCCTGACCTGAGACCTGGAGTCCTAAAGTGTATTTGTCAATTCAAGCACTTAAATGTGTGGTAGGATGTTATGGATTTCCCAATTAGAATTGCAGAGGAATTAAAGAAAATTGTAGTAAATGTGCTTACTTTTAAAAATAGTGTGATGTGAGGGATCATTTAGATAAAATTTGTTTCTTCAACTATTCCTTCATTTCTCTATTTTGGCTTCCCCCCAACTTCAAGTGGCAATTCGATCCCTCAGAAAGCTTCAGTTATCCTAAATAAAGCATATAAACCCCCTATTGACTTCTTAGTTCCTAGCCTTTTCAGTCTCTTGGCTATACTGAACTCTAGAAACCCCATTTTCCTTCCTCAGATTGTCTCCTGGACTTACAGCACTGGATCTCTCTGGAATTTTCCCTTGACCTTAATGGCTGCAATTAAATGTTTTTCTTTCAGTATTTTCATTTTCTGACATCTTTGCTAGATCAAGGGTCTTTCTTTGGACCACTCTTTTTCTTTCTATTTTCTTTTCTTCTCTAATTCCCAAAGAATACTCTTCTGAACTATATGAACTGTACAGTAAGAGACATTTACATTATTTTCTGGAAGAAAAGGAGCCATATAGTTTAAAGTAAATGCAGAAGAAAATTGTTACTTTTACTCCAAGTTATTAAGGTTATTAGGCATGTCTTGGTAGCAGGGAACATGTGGAAAGAGTTTCCAGAAGCCTCTTTAATTGTATGGACTATAGCCCATAAATTGGGAGGGTTGATCAGGAAGGCTTTAAACTAGGTTTGAAGGGGGAAGGGATTGAAACCAAGATCTCCAGAGATGAACCTAAGAGTGGAAAACCAGAGTTAGAAGTGATATCAACAGCCCAGCTGAAGTGCATGTACACCAATGCACACAGCATGGGTAACAAACAAGAGGAACTGGAAGCCATTGTGCAGCAGGAAAGCTATGATGTAGTTGCCATCATAGAAACGTGGTGGGATGACTCACATGACTGGAGTGCTGCCATGGATGGTTACAAACTCTTCAGAAGGGACAGGCAAGGTAGGAGAGGTGGAGGGGTGGCTCTATATGTTAGAGAGACTCGACTCTGTAGAACTTGAAGTCAGAAACAATAAGGTTGAGTGCCTGTGGATCAAAATCAGGGGGAAGGCCAACAAGGCTGATATCCCGGTAGGAGTCTGTTACACACCACCCAACCAGGATGATGAGGATGATGAATTATTCTTCAAGCAGCTGGCAGATGTCTCAAAATCACCAACCCTTGTTCTTGTGGGTGACTTTAACCTCCTAGATGTCTGCTGGGAACTCCACACAGTGGAGAAGAGGCAGTCTAGGAGATTCCTAGAGTGTATAGAGGATAATTTCCTGTTCCAGTTGGTAAATGAGCCTACCAGAGATGCGGCCCCATCACAAATAGAGGGGCTGGTGGGAGATGTGGTGGTCAGAGGCCATCTGGGGCACAGTGACCATGAAATAATATAGTTTTCAATACTCAGGGATGCAAGGAGGGCCACCAATAAAACCTCTACACTGGACTTCCGGAGGGCAGATTTTGGCTTACTCAGAAGACTGGTTCAGATTGTACCCTGGGAAACAGCCCTTGAAAAAAAAGAGGTCCAGGAGGGATGGACATGGTTCAAGAAACAAGTCTTGAATGCACAGGAGCAGGCTATCCCGGTGTGCCAAAAGGCAAACCGGAGGGGAAGACGACCAGTCTGGCTGAACTGGGAGATTCTGAAGGAAAGTAGGGTAAAAAAGAGAGTTTATGGATTATGGGAAAAAGGCCTGGCTACTCAGGAAGAGTTTAGGAATATAGTTAGGTCACATAGAAAGAAAATTAGAGA